TTTTTTTTTATATATATAAATACATATATAGATATATATATATATATATATATATATATATATATATATATATATATATATATATATATATATATATATATATGCATATATATATGCATGAATTAATGTACAGTAAACACTTCCAGTCAATGAAATTTTATTTAAAAAAACAAAACAAAAGAATATGCCGTATTTCATCCTAAAATTAGTTTTGCTGTTTTAAATATTTGATTGTTGATTTAAAAAATATAGAGCATTTTTTAAGATGAATATTTTCTAAAGCTCCGTTCACTCTGAGAACATCTCTCTGATATAAATGTGTTTATCCTCCTGTATGATGAAGGCTGATGTTTTTATGCATTCGTCAATGTTATTAACGTCATGTACATTTACAGGTTTTTAACAGGATGTGTGTGTGTGTGAACACACTATGATCCAGTGAGCATTTTCCAGAGTGTGTGTGAAAGCAGCTTAAGTTAAGTTATAACTTCATATTTTAATGTACATTTTTTTGTTTTGGGGTGAAATCTGAAATCTGGAGATTGACTGTAAAAGAGTTTTCTCAGGTGAAGATCAGTATTTGCTCACTGATTTTCATGTGTGTTTACCTGTTCACTGTAAACTGTTTTGGCCTGGTCTGATGTGTTGTGTGTGTGAGACTATGTATGTGAGAGTGTATGTGTGTGTCTACTTGTTTATGTGGTTTACAAGGACATGATGTTGTAGAATGACGTGGGTATGACCCAGTTGTACTTTGAGGATGTGTCTTGTGTCCTCCAGGGTTCCCGCGTTGCTTGAAAGTACTTGAATTTCAAGGCCTGGAAAGAACTAAAACAAACACCGGTCCTCGAAAGTACTTGAATTGAAAGTGTATGGTGTTATTTAAATAACGGTACTGTGCTGCTTTCAAAAACTGAACAAAAACTAAGAAAATGAAATTGAAATCTTGTACAAGATCTATGACAAATAATGCACATTTGATCAATATTTCAGAAACCGCATTTGAATATTACCAATACTGAATTTAACTAATTTTATTGGAGTACTTAGAAGGTGACGGTCAACATTAATACAGTCTACATTTGTGAAAATGACACATTCAAAACATCATTACTCTGACATTTAAATGTAAATATTAACTTTCGTGGCACTATATATGCTTTGGGTGTGAATTAAGGCTGCTCAATTTAAAATTATTAGTGATTTAAAAAGTCCTTGAATTAGGTGTCCATGAAAGAGTGGGAAGCCTGGTCCTCGTAATTCAGATGCTTAAAATGATGGTAATGTGTACTTTTGACATTTAAAATATAATATATCAAGCTCTTTTTAAAGTATAAAATACTTATTGCATATGGAGAGTCCTCGTAAACCACATATACGTGTTTGTGTGTGTGTGTGTGTGTGTGTGTGTGTGTGTGTGTGTGTGTGTGTGTGTGTGTGTGTGTTTCAGAGAGAGATGTCTGTGGACACAGCTAGTTGTTGAGCTGGTTTCCACTTGGCGCTTCTTCGTCCTCCGTCTGCTCTGATGTACGGCTGATTTCTCAGATCTGCACACAGAGAGAGACGCTCATCAAGACTTTTGTACATATTATACATCTGTTCTGTTGGTCTTGATTTATTGAATATGAATATGTATTTACATTCATATTTAAGACATGGTATCAATGCGTCTACACGAATGGTCAGAATATTTTTGAAAGATTTTGGTTTTGTATCATTTATTTCAAAATATAAATGTATTATACTTCTGTATGTAAATATCTACAGTAATGTGACTCATTATTCGCCGTCCTGGGAATTGTTTCCAAATATTTCCCAAATGATGTTTAACAAGGAATTTTTCACTGTATTTCCTATAATTTTTTTCTTCTGGAGAATGTCTGATTTGTTTTATTTCAACCAGAATAAAAGCAGTCAATATTATTAGCCCCCTTAAGCAATATTTTTTTCGATTGTCTACAGAACAAACCACTGTTATACAATAACTTGCCTAATTACTCTAACTTGCCTAGTTAACTTAATTAACCTTTAAATGTCACTTTAAGTTGAATTCTAGTGTAACGTAAGGATGCTGACAATGCAGTATCGCAGTCAAAAACAGGCAAATGGTCAATACATAATCAATAACGGAAAGAATCAACAAAGAATCAATAACGGAAAAACCCGGCAAGGACCAATAAAGGAATGACTAGACAGGATTAAAACTTTGTGATGGTACAATAATAGTAAACAAGACTCAGCCCAGAAGTGTGTGCATGCTGTGTAAATAGTCCTTGTAATCAGTCCATTAGCAGCTCCCTGCTGTGTGTAATCAAGGGAAAACCGGAACAGGTGTGTGTGAGGTGCATGATGGGATTGTAGTGCAAGTGAAAGTGAATGATTCCTAGCGATCTACAAGCCTGGATGATCGTGACAACTAGTGTGTTGAAAAATATCTAATATAATAATAATAATATCAAATATTATTTACTGTCATCATTGCAAGGATAAAATAATTCAGTTATGAAATGAGTTATTAAAACTATTATGTTTAGAAATGTGTTGAAAAAACTCTTCTCTCCGTTAAACAGAAATTTGGGAAAAAATAATTAGGGGGGCTAATAATTCAGGGAGCTATTAATTCTGACTTCAGCTGTACATATTTCATATCAGAGGCATGAATGAGGCTCAGATTATAACATAACGTCATAGCTAGTGGTTTTTTGGAGGAAAAAAGCTGAGGAGAAATTCAAAGAAAAGTTTCTCAAATAGTCTACCTTTTTTATTTGATTATTATGTAGTTATGGCAATTGACTCTGCATACAGCCAATGTAATGATAACACGTGAAAAAAACTACAGTATTGTAATTTATATCTATTCATCATTATTACATTTATATTATATTATAATTACATAATATTTAACAATTTTATTGATATTTATTTTTACAAATAAAACTGCTGTGCCAAGCTTAATAGTTGTTATTTTTATAACTATTGCATCCTAAAAATTAGACCTGTTTAACAAAACTTAAACAATCTTTCCATAAATGTACCATACATCACTGAAAATGGGAGAATCCCAGCTTTAATTCGGTTAATAGCACATGGTCAGGTGGTTCAGATGTGTTGCAGTTTTGAATATAATAATTTTCTTTAAACTGGATTTTCTCAAAAAGATGACTTTCTGAGTCTGAAATAAAACAAATCTTTGACATGGCCTAAATCAACAGTCAATATTAAAGATATCAAGGTTACATTTTCACAGAATATTATTTACATTGTGTAGAATGATTTTATGTCAAATACATTGAATCATAAAAATATCTTTAGCTGACGGGAGTGAGTTACATAAATATATTAACCCTGTTAAATCCTGGTAGTTTTTGATCCAAGGTTGCTGGTTTACATTG